GCATGTGGACTTCAACTCCCAGAATTCCACAGCTAGCAATGCTGGCTGTGGAATTCTGGGAGTTGAAGTCCACATGCCTTAAAATTGTCAAGGTTGAGAAACACTGATCTAGCATCTTGGACATTAGAAGTGGGGGACCTGTCCAATTATTCTCAAAATGCAGTTCTACTCATGGTGAAGAGTGCTGGGGTTTATAATTCAGCAACCCTGGGAAAGGCTTCCTACTCAAGAGAGCTTTAGGCACTTTTCCCAGTCCTGTGTGGAAATGGTGGGGACTGAAAGCGAGACCTTCTGCAAACCGGCGTGTGCCCCTTAGTACTGAGCTGTGGCCCCCTCCTCTTGGTTAAGGAGCAGCAAGGTATGAAATGGGCATCAGGCATCCTGGAGAGAGATGAAGCCAACAGAGCAGAGCAAAGAAACGGGGGGGGGGAGCTCAGAGCTCCCTCCCTCTTGCAATTGAATCCCTTGGGAATAGCTCATATTAATGACTCTCTCCCTATCCCAGAAGCTGAGTGCTTCGTCGTTAATGGTGTAAAGAGGAACAATTAAATCCTTGGTAATTAGCATCCATCACCAGCTCACCAGCGATGTGGCTGCAACTATACTCTCAAGAGGCTGGAGAGGCAGCCTTGCTAGGGGGAACCCTTGACTTGGCTGCCCTTCACTCCAACAGCCACTAGGTGGCTTTCTCTGGAAGGGGAAGCTTTCGATGGGGCAATTGGGAAATAGAGTAGGTTGGGGGGAGCAAAATGAGGTTTGTCACCCGCCATGCAACAATGCTTTGATATTGTTCTCCTTTGGTAGGAATGGAAATGGCTAGCTAGGCAGCTTCAGGGCTGAAGAAAGGGCTGAGGTTGACTTCCCGGAAGATGGAGTTTGGTCTGTTCTCACATTCGCAGAGGGTGTTTTTAGGTGGGTGCATAATGTATGGATGTCCTCATGAGTAGGCAACCATTAGACATGGTCAACAATCCTTGTGGATCCCAGATAGATAGATAGATAGATAGATAGATAGATAGATAGATAGATAGATAGATAGATAGATAGATAGACAGACAGACAGACAGACAGACAGACAGACAGACAGACAGACAGACAGACGAAGATAGAGATATATGGATAGATGAAGATAGAGATAGACAGATAAATGTATATAGATAGATAGATAGATAGATAGATAGACAGACAGATGATAGAGACACACAGAGACAGATACACCAATAGATGATAGATAGATAGATAGATAGATAGACAGACAGACAGACAGACAGACAGACAGACAGACAAAGATAGAGATATATGGATAGATGAAGATAGAGATAGACAGATGAATGTATATAGATAGATAGATAGATAGATAGATAGATAGATAGACAGACAGACAGATGATAGAGAGACACACAGATAGATACACCAATAGATGATAGATAGACAGACAGACAGACAGACAGACAGACAGACAGACAGACAGACAGACAGACAGACAGATGAAGATTGAGATATATGGATAGATGAAGATAGAGATAGCCGGATGAATAGATAGATAGATAGATAGATAGATAGATAGATAGATAGATAGACAGATGATAGACAGACAGATACACCGACAGATAGATAGATAGATAGACAGATGCACCGATAGATGATAGATAGATAGATAGATAAGATAGATAGAATGTAAAACTGACATTCTACCAAATGCCAGACTCTAACATTATTAATTGTTGTTGCTATTGATTGATTCTCTGCCTTTTCTCCAGGAGCAAAATGAGGCTTTGCAAGACAGATTGAGCTGCGAGAGAATGATTAGCCCAACAGCCCCAGGTCATCCCAAGTCCTAGTCCAATAACTCAACCATTGCCCCACGCTGGCATCATATTTCTTTCCCTCTGGACCTGTTTTATTTAGTCAACAGATTTACTGCCTTTTCTGTCTTTTTATTTTTCTAGCAGGAATTAAAGGGCTGTGCAAAATATGCCCAACTTATTTCCCTCCATCACAACAACTTTGTGAGGTAGGTTGGCCCTCCACAGTTGAGGATGAACCTCAGCATCCTCTGGTGTCAAAACAGTGACATGAATTGATGCTATCATCACCAAATGCCAGAACTGTATCAACTGTACTACAAGGTCTAGGTATATGAGTTATGGCATCTGTGTGATGTTGTCATCCTTGGCCCTGCCTCCTCAGCCCCCTCCCCCCACGGGCATCATGAATCCAGGTCTACCTTGTTCTTCTCCCCATCATAAACCTGATGCCAGGGTGGACGGGCCACCTAGACAGATAACATAAAAATTGTGCCGTGGAAATAGGACTGGAGAACATGGCATGGAACTGACCTTCTCACCTTGTTCAAGTAAATCCTGAGTGGCCTCAATTAGCTGTTCTGATAGATCCTTTGTGAATCAGAAAGCCTCACCAGAAGGATATTAGGTTTGAGGAACGGGTTTTGTGGAGAAGTGGAATAAAACGGTCAGGGAATCCAGAAAAGGTACGTTATACTTATTTATGCCAAACCAGTTTTGTAGACAAAATTGCTACATCTTCTGAGAGATCTCTTCAGGGCTTCCAGGTATGCATTTTGGAAGGTTTGGGGGGGGGGCACCTGAAGAATGGGATGTAGAGATTTGTCTTTCCAAGGAGGGTATATTATTGCAGCATCTGCATTTAAATCTTCTGCTTTATCCCAGTTGGGCTAACATGGTTTACTTAAACCAGATTTGTGAAACTTGCTGAACCATACTATGCTTGGTTGGAAGCCTTGTATAGTACATGAATCCAGCTAGTCTGGTTTTTCAACACCTGATCTACAGGCTTGGCTAAGACCAACCAATAGTAACTTATCCAATGGTTAAGCTAACCACTGCTTGTGGACAGAACACCACCAAGTCAGTGTATGGAACATCTTGCCTTCGGAAGTTGTGAATGCTTCATCAATGGAGGTTTTTAAGAAGAGACTGGACAGTCACTTGCCTGAAATGGTATAGGGTCTCCTGCTTGAGCAGGGGGTTGGACTAGAAGACCTCTAAGGCCCCTTCCAGCTCTACTCTGACATAAGGCTGATCAAACAGAAGCCTCACCAGCTTCCTGATCAGAGCATTAAAACCATTGTTTTTTTCAGCTGAGATCTGTGGTTTGCTCCTACCATGAATTTTACTCATTATAGGGAATTTTGGCGAGTGTGTTAAGAAAGGTAGCAGCACACCTTGGACCTATGACTTAGCCCAAGGCTTTTCAACCAGTGGTACGGGTACCACCTGTGGTACATTGGCACCTGGCAAGTGGTACATGACCATCCTACAAAAATGGTAGCGGGGGAGGGGAATGAGCTGAACCGGTGGCAGCAACGCACAAGCCTGAGCGAGAGATGGCTGGAGCTGCAGGGCTGTCAGGGCTTAGTGGAAGCGCTAGGATCAGCACCAGGCTCCAGCTGGAGCTCGGCGCTGATCCTGGTGCTTCTGCTGAGCCCTGAAGAAGCACCAATCAGCTGGAAAGCAGCACTCATCCTGACACTTCTGCTGAGCCCAGAAGAAGCACCGATCAGCTGGAATGTTGCAGCATCTCCAGGGTCTTATGATTTACATTCAGATGCTTGGCAACTGATTCATATTTATGACAGTCAGTGTCCCAGGGTCATGTGAAGTGACCAAAACATTCTGCAACCACCCAGCGGATAGGGGAATAAAGACCAAACACCCCCCATCCCACCCGCGCTGCCAATCCTCAACAGAAATGCTCACAACAATGAAAACCTCGGACAGGAGGAAGAGTACCACCGGGTGGGCAGGCAGGTGTCTTGCTCGGCTGTGGATTGGGAGGTGCTTTTTTCAGTGCCATTGTAACTTCTAAGAGTCACTAAGCGAACTGTTGTAAGTCGAAGACTACCTGTACTTTATCACTTTTTTTTCCTTTTTTTTTGGGTCATCAAGTTTTTGACCCCTTGCTAGATGACTGATGGTCCTCGGATGTTGCCATATCCTAAAAGTGGTACAATGGGTGAAAAGGTTGAAAAGCCCTGACTTAGCCGAGGAAGGATGACCTCATTGCAGAAACTTAGCTTGGGTGCGAGAAGAGTTTAGAGACGCTGGTTAGCTGAATACCAGGCTGGGAAGATGCTAGAATGGTGGAAGCAGAATACCTGGCTTCAGTTTTGCCTTTGGGCTCCCCGGTGTATGGAATAAGTGGCCCACCGCCTTTTCCTCTCCTGCGTTCCTTTCCCCGGTCCAGCGGTCACATCGAGAGCCCCCCCCCCCCCCGAGCATGTGCAGAGTGCTTTCCACAGCGCACGGCAGAGGAGGCAGCCTAATCCTGCTCTCCCCCCCCCCCCCAACTCCTTCTTTTGAGCTGGACGCATTGTCGATGGGTGGGACGACGGAGGGACCCGGGAAGAGGAATCTGGGGGGGGGGGCTTAGAGAGCAACCACGTGGGGGGAGGGGGCGGAGGAGACCTCCTTGGAGGCGACCCGACTGGGGAAAGTAAGGAGGGCGGAACTGAGGCGAGGAATGCGAAGATTCACCCTCTCCTTCCTCTCTTTTTTTCCTACGGAAGACCCCCCCCTCCCCTCCCGGAGGCAGTTTTTGAGGGGGGCTCGGGGAAGGGCAGCAGGGGGATCCCTGTGGGTTTCCCCAGCCGTTTGCGTGGACGGGGAGGGGGGGCGTCCCTTCTCCCCCCCCCCAGCCCTGCTGCAGTAACAAAGAGCCCCTCATAAATCAGCAGCGCGACCCCCCCCCCACCACCCAGCCGCCAGACCTTCCCACCAGCCCGCCGTCCCTCCCACCCATTGGTGGTCCCCCATCGGCTTCATTTGCATGCTCCGCCCTTCCTCAAGCCAGGCCATCTCTTGATTGGCGCACTCGGGGGCGTCCCTCATCTCTGCCCAACTGTCTGTCAAATTTTTCAAGCCCTTTCGGTAGCTTTCTTTCTCTCCCCCCCCCCTTCCTCCTCCTCCTCCTCTCCCCCCCTCCCTTATGAGATGCAGCAAGGCTGGCGGGTTGAATGCGAGAGCCAGCCCGTACCTTCCTCCGCCGTCCCCCCTCTTTTCTGCCGCTACTCCGGCCGCGGCTGCAGAATTCCCCTCATCTCCATCCAGGACCAGCCGGAGAGATGAACCACGTCCTGCTGGGCGCGCTGCTCTGCAAGATGGGCTTCCTTTTCCTCTCGCAAGGTACCGCCATCCCGGTGGGCGCCGGGGGTCGGGAAGGACCGGGTGTGTGTGTCTGTGGAGGGGGCGCGTTTGTGTGTTTGTGTATACGCGGGGTGGGGAGAGGGTTCAAGCCCAGCCGTGAGTGAGCGAAGCCGTGCGCGGACGGAATGCCCAATGCGTCTCTGGGGCACGCGTGGGTTCGTGGGGGGAAGGCGCGCGCGCGCGCGCCGCCGCCGCCGCCGCCGGCGGGAATCACAACAGGGTTGCGTGCCACGAAGGTAGCGCCATGGTACCTATGCATCTGGAAAGGGGAGGGGGGGCTGAGTCCCGCCGAGGGTCCGGGCGCCCCTAAAATGTACCCGCCGTCTCTCCCGCTCTGGGCCAGACTCCCGGTTTCTGCGCGTTTCCCGGAGGTCTCGCTCCCCGCTCTGCAGATTGGTGTCACGTTGGATGTCACGGCTGCATGCCTTTTGGAAACCCCCCTCCCCCCTCCGCGGAGATGTCACAACAACTGCAGGCGTGCTGTAGGAATGCACAATTGTGCCTCCTCATGAATATGCATGGGAGGAGGGAGCCTTCCTGCTCTTTCGTGGAAAGCGCAAAATGTGCCTGCCGACCTCGCTCTTGCGCTGGATGGGGCTTTTCCCTCCCTGCCGTGGGCGGCGGGGGAAAAGATCAGACCCGGCTTGGGAGCAAAGACCTGCAAAGGGTCCTCGGCAGAGAGAGAGGGGGGGGGGAAGCCCAGATCCCGCTGGGGCTGCCCGAAGAGAAACGGGAAGGGACGAGCTGGCGGGAGAGGGAGGAGCGGAGCGCTTTGAGAGAGTCCAGCTGGATGGAGCCGTCTGTTTGGGGGGGAAATCCAGAGCAAAAAAAGGCAGTTGTGTAATATGCGCAGGACTCGGGAGAGAGTTGCAGGGCGGAAGGAGCGCTGGAAGAAGGGAACCGTATAGGTAACGCTTCTGAGGCTTCGAGGATTTACAGAAACAGACTAGAAGCCAAAAGGGAGATGGAAGATGGAAGGGGAGAGGTCCGGCTCTATGTTGCAAAGGGATGGTGAGGTCTGCAAAGCTATACATACCGCACTTAACCTGGAAGTTAGGCCTATAGACTCAGTAGTGGTGTTCACGCAACATACTTTAACCCAGACCGTTGCAAACTTCCCAACTGCAGTTGCACAATACATGAAGCTGCTGTAGTTTTAACCTTGATGGGTGTGAAGGTTTTGGGGAGAGGGGTGGGGTAGGTTGGTTTATTGTGCGAACTCAGACCCGCGTGCCTCAGAGTGGTGTACAAACCCAAAAAAAATGGGTTACTTCAGTTAACCAGGAAAAAGGTTGCTGTGTGAACTCAACCCCTGGATTTCCTGTCGCCTGCCCTTCAGACTGCCACATTTCCTGGGATAAATCTCAAACCAGCATCTCAGGCCTTGGAAGCAGACAGACCTGTTATTCTCACAGCACAGACATGACAACAACACAAGGGGTGATGTGATTTAAACAAGGGTGCCATGTATTGGTGCAGATGCCAGGATTGGCATTGATAGGACTTATTAGGTTCCTGGAGTTCCCTGAATTTGCTGTGGTGTAGAATTTGCTAATTCTAAGGTCAGCTTTTTTAAAATGCCAGGAGTGGCTTTCCTAATTTCACAACAGATGGATCTGACCAAAGATTTTTTGTCTAGCATTAAACAATCGTATCGAGATGTCTCCTGTCATTTCCCCTGACATTTATCATTTGAAGGTAGACTATCCCTGAATGGAGAAACTCCACTAAGTTATAAAACCCAGCTGCTTTGAACCGATCTGACTTTCCTTGAATCTCCCTAATCATTTCCTAAAGTCCATTTACCAAGTGGTAATCTTAGTCTTCTACAATAATAATATCCTGTAGTAATAGATTTGAGGGAGTAATTCTGGATGATTCATCTCTGCTTTTTGGAGGCAACTGCCAAGCGATTTAACTCCGAGCATCTGAGATCTGATCCTGAAAAAAAAAAAAAGGGGGGGGGAGAAAACAGAACTCTCTCTTTCCAGATTTACAAGTGGTACGATAGCAAGTGTTGATATTGTTAATGTTTTCCTGAGCATCGTTTTGAGGATTGCTCAGCTTTGCCTGGGCCTCTGTTGATGCTGAAGTTCTGTTTTTAGCATTGCTCAGTTGATCACACTTGCAGATGGTTGATTGGCATTCTTAGCATGTACAAGCAAGAGTCTTGTGGAACCTTGAAGATGAGCAAAATCCTCTTGGCATCTGCTGTCCTTGGCTGGCTCCTATGCCACCAGCTGTCAGATCCATCTGATGGTGGGATTGCTTGCCTTTAAGAGGCCACTGGGATGTTTGCGTCTGCTGCATCAAACTCTTTCTGGAAAGCTCAGCCCAAAGAACCTAGAAGCCGTCCTCCTTGTTGTTCCTTGTCGAGCCCGAGAAGATCCAGAGAAGGTCCTAGGGGCTTTGTGCATGGACAGAATGTGTTCTAAAGCCCACCTCCTTTGCAGAGCAGACGGTTCTCATTGGCTGGCTGTGTGGCATTGCCAAGCAGGCCTTTTTGCTTGGTGCCACATCAGTGGTGTCATCACACTGAGCAGTTTTATTGGCAGAGCTGGATCTGGGGAGCTTCGCTCTCAGTGTGATTGGCAATGCAGGGAGCTGGTAAATCTGGAAGTGTTGTGGTTGAGTGTGCAGGAGTGGCATCATTGGACTGAGACGAGGTAATGAAAAGTCCAAGTGGTGGGTCGACCAATCCTGTTCTGCCTACTGAAGCAGCAGATGAGTTTCCAGCACACTTCAAAGCCAGAATTGAAACATTGCATGTGCTGGAGAGAGGTCACAATGATGTCAGCATGGGCTTTGAAGGCTTGAGGGTCAGTATTGGGCTTCAGTAGAAGGCTACTGTGCAAAGGGGGCCTTGAAGAAGGAATGCAGGAACAGGGATGGGAAAATAAGGAGCAATTCGGTTTTAGGAAAGGGGTAGGAGTGAGAAAGAAACTCAGATTTGTTTAATATCCAGGTAGTTTTTATTTACGACTGAAGTTCAATGGAACCCCCCAAAAGATACTTAGGATATGACTTCAAAGTTATGATGTACACACACACACACACACACACACACACACACACACACACACACACACACCATGGTCAGGTGATTGCATTTGGGGCATTTGGCAACCAGCACAACTTTATGGCTATTTGCTGCATCCCAAAGTCACGTCACCATGTTTTTTGACAATTTTTTTTTCCTGATTGCCAGTATTTATTTATAGTTTCTGTCAAAAATGCCCATTCGGAATTAGTGGGTTAACTGAATGACCACCATAAAAATGTCATTAATTTGGGTGATCTGGTGACCTGCTTAATGACTTACAATTCTGGGCTCAATTACAATCGTAAGTTGAGGACTACCTGTAAAACGAGGCAGAAGAAAGCTGGTAGACTTTCAAGATTCTGTTCTTAATCCTCCAACAACTGAGCCGCATTCCGATTATCTTTGCATTGTCTGTGTCCTTACCTGGCCTACCCTAAAAGGTTGACAGCTTCTCTAATTTAAATGGTCAAGGGGGGGGGGGAGAGATGCTACTGTCACTTAGGAAGACTTCTTAAGAGTTAGAGCAGTGGTTCTTAACCTTTTTAATGCCGTGACCCCCAACCGGTCGTAAGTCGAAGACTACTCAACCGGTCGTAAGTCGAGGATTACTCAACTGGTGCAACACCGTTTGCAGAATGGGACTTTTGGTGGGCTCAGTAGGGCAGAGACAGCCTGGACAATTCCTATTGGCTTTTGAAAGTCAATAGAATTAGACTCTATTCAAGAGAGTCTATTCTATTGGCTTTCAAAAGCCAACAGAATAAAAGGGAGTAGCACAGCTAAGGAAAAGGGGAAAAAAATGGCGGACTGCGTTGTTTGGCGACCCCCGTGAAATGGTCGTTCGACCCCAAATGGGGTCCCGACCCACAGGTTGAGAACCACTGACTTAGAGGGAACACATAAAGAGATGTAGTAACAAAGTTCTCCTGTCTGCAAATGTTCAAAACTGAAGCCTAATCTTTCAGGGATTCCTAAACTTTTTGGCATGACACCTCCCTTGAGTGCATTTTAACATATACACCTCCCCTAAAAATCCAAGCTCCAAAATCAAGGTTCCCCAAATTTGGCAACTTTAAGACTTGTGGAGTTTCAACTCCCAGAAGTCCTCAGCCAGTTGGAAGTTGAAATCTACAAGTCTTAAGAGATGCCAAGTTTGGAGACAGACCCCTTTCCAAAGTGAATACAACTAAACAACGAAAACAATGAAAGTAAAAGTTTCTTCACCCCTTGCCTGGATGGTCCACATCTCCCCAAGGGAGATACACCTCCTAGGCTGGAAAATGCTGATCTATGGAAAATCCAAATTTTAAGCATTGACAATATTGCTACTGTTAGAATAAAGCAAGCAATTAAAAATATGCGGGTCCACAGAGTAGGCAAGTGTGGTTGGGATAGGCTGCCTACAAAATGGCCAGCAGGATTTCTAAGCTGGACTTCAACTTGTGGAAAAACCACAATACTTACATCAGAAGACAAGACTACGAAGGGCTGGAGAAAACAGGTTTTATTTGTGCACAATGGTTCAGAGCATTAGCATGACAAATTCTGAACCCCCGGCTACTCCCAGGGAGTAATTCTTATAATATTGACTACACACGCCTTAGCCTTAGGGTGGCTCTTATCTACCTTTGACACACTAAAACAGAGAAGTTTATATCTTGGAGCTACCCAAGGAAAAAGGAGAAGTTCACACAAACGGTTGTCTTACCACCCCTCTCTACACGGGTAATATCTTACACCATCTGTGACTTTCAGTTGACACTTCTTGTAAAATGGTTTCTACATAGCATGAACACATCTTTATAGCAATGACACACAGGTTATATTATTTAGGTTTCATTATTCAGCCAAGCTTAATATTACCTATTACCTAAAGTTAGTAAAAACAGCATCCAGCATTCCTATTAATTGTTGTTGTTAATTGCGAAGTCATGTC